CTATTCATGATTATTACTTCATGCATAGCAATTACTTAACAGATAACACAAAACTCAATGACCAAAAAAATGCACTTATATATAATTGCCTTATTAACTCTCATCAGTTAAGCTATCTATGAGATGTCAAGACAGTCCACTCCTGCCAGAGAAACACCAAGACTCAATCAACAAAATACTCATTATACATGGACTTTATAAAACCAAGTGAATTTCTACCTTAAATTGGTAAACAAGCTAAGATCGGCATGCACTGTTCTTTCGAGATAACAGTTGTCGCGACAATTCAACGTAGAATACACAAACAAGCATACTGATCCCATAGATTGACACAGCTTTGTCACAATGCCATATAAATCTTACCCAACCCCTTTGGAGCGCCTTGAGATCCTATCCATGATCAAACGTACATCTCGGACCTGAAAATGTGTCACCCACTTGACAGTCATAAAGAGATGCATAATGGTTGATGTTTTATCCGAATACATACATAGATACATATTTGTGGAGCTGCTGGTGCTGATTTTTCTGTTCCTCTAATCTCAGAGTTGGACGGGGAGAGGGAGGGGGATAGGGGTTGGAGGATTTATATAAACATAAAATGACCAAGTGAAGTCAATTGCTCATCTACCAAGCCAAATAACCTGAGCTAAAGATTAAATCATATGGGATGTGAATCAAACAATGCACAAACAAACGCCAGTGAGAGCTGTGTCTATGGTGTGCAGCATGCCTATAGCAGTCCACTCACAGACATGTCAAAGCAGCAGGAAATGAAGAGTGTAAGGAAATACCGAAATCCATAAGAAGCATCTATTTTTCACCATACATGACACACACAGATTGGGATGAAATTCTTCTTTATCAGGAGAGCTCCCAAGATGTTAAGTGAAAGTATATACTTAGAACATAACCATAACCTCCTCCCACATTCAACAAGGAAGCAAGTTACCTTGCCAGCCCTTGAGAAGAACTCATAAACGTCTCTTTCATCTGCTTTCAAGTTAATCTGTAAAATATTGGTACAACTAAGTAAATTTGCAAGTAAAGAAGATTTATATTTGCAGCAACCATAAATACAAATCCATGTGAACAACCCATTTACATTACCTGATAGGCAAATACAGTCCTCTGGTCCCGTTCAGGATCCACCTCTGGCTCTTTGGCATCTTCCTTCTTTTCTTTATGCGGCCTGCGAAATGAAGAAAATTCAAACCATCAATCATGGTTTTCATAGATAAAAGAGCAGACCTTCATAGGACCAGTCAATTATGTACTTCAGAAGTATATTGCTCTGTCAAGCAGAGCCATTTTTGACATGGTGGAAGTGTTAAAAATCGCTAAACCAAAGAACAAAAGTTATCCCAAAATGGCAGCCAAAATTTCTCCGCTTATGATATAAGGCCGAACCCATGTGCCCTAGTCCTGCAGGGAACTACACAAAGTTATTATGAGAGGACAACCCACACAGATTGGTATCTAAAAGACTTTGTCATCTTAAATGTGATCATTAACATGGAGACCAAGTAATTTATGTACATAATCTGACCTCAAGCAATAGATTAGCATCAAATATTGTACCTTCTATAAACAACTTAATCTTAAATGATAACGGCGTCATCAAGTTGCATAGATGGCGTGCCAAAGAACCTAATAGCATAATTTGGAACTTGTTAATCTTAGATTCCAGCAGAACACATTACATTATAATAAAGCATATATAAGACCAAAAAAATAACCAAGAGATAGTGGAAGAGAGGCAGCTAATTTCTCATGAGGTACAAGATCCAATACCGATTATCAGATAAACCAAAAAGGCGCAAGAAAAAGCAGGAAAAAAAAAAAGATATAAGAACCTGATCTAGACATGCAGGTAGACTCCAAATTAAGCAAACTATAATCTAGTTGAACAAGGAACTAAAGACTTGTCATAATTCCTTCCAAAGTTCAGCATGTCCTACAACAACACAGACAAAAGCTGCCACAGATGATGAACATGCTAACAAATTAATACATATTGCCCCAATTCAGTATCAGCATGATCCACTTAGGCAGCGATACTTGCAAACTTAAACATTGAAAGATATGGATCCAAAAATTGTCTCATCGTTATCAAAATTGAGCAATGGCATAATGCTCTTAACTGCATAGAGCAAAACCCTCTTTCAAGCAAAACCAGGTTCCAAATGGCTTAAAGACAACATTAAGGCCCATCTGTCCACCTCTTTTAAACAAAATGCTGCATTTTCGTCAAAACATAAAAATGCTATTTTAACGTTAAATTTTATGAGAATATTGTATAAAATTCCATATATATGTGCATATTTCTGCATCAAATAAAAATCAAAGTTCAGGGCTGCAAGATTTTCGAAAAAGTAAAAAGTAAAATTTAAAGACACTCTAAACAGAACTATAGATCACGAGGTTTAGAACCAGGTTGCTCCCACACCCATTACATTAGACCTACTGACATACACATCAGCCTAGGTAACTATAACTAGAGTACTGATAGATAATTGGCCGATAGCTTCTTTTCCTCCATATAGTTGTACTTTACTATTTTTATAGAAGAAAGGTATAGAGCAATTTGAGCGCTCTGGCTATCTGAGAGAAAGGACCAAACAAATAAAAAGGGAGCTGTGAGAAGAGAACAACACATTAAATCCAATTACTAATTAGCACTAGAAAACCTTGATAGAGAGTGTCAAAATTTCTTCACACCATCAGACGATAATTAACTAACACAAATGAAACCACTAAAAAGAAAACAAACTTGAAATACCTGCTCTCTCTCTCTCGTTCCCCCATTTGCCTCTCTTTATCTCTTTCTCTATGCTCCAAATCTCGATTCCTTTCTCTGCCCATTTCCTCTCGACCACCTCGATGCCTTCCAGAAGGGCTCCTGCTTCTCCGTGACTTCTCTTGTTCCCTTTCCCTAACCCAACCGATGTCGGGATCCCTCCTGTCTCGATCGCGACGCTTGTCTCTATTTCTATCTCTCTCTCCCCCATTCCTGTCCTCCCTCTCACCATCCTTTTCCCTGCCTCTCTCCCTCTCTTTTCGTTCCCGGCTACTCTTATGCCCTTCCCTCTCTCCATCCCTTGACCGCGACCGGTGCCGTGAAGAACCACGCCTATCATTATCTCGGGGTTTGTCCCCAGACTTCGAGCGTTTGGAGAGATGATCAGCATCGTCCTCATTCTCTTCATCCTTATGCTTTGAAGACCGACTTCTACGCCTGTCTCCTGAATTCAGGGTTCCTTCACCGCCATTCGCAACTTCCTTCACCTTGTGTGGTTCTGGATTCTCAACTGTTTTCTCCAGGTATTCATATTCATCGAAATCCATGGTCTAAATTAGTCAGTTAAAGGAAGCCCTCAGTCAGCTCAGCTCAGCCCGAGTCTGTAAAATATGTGGGAAAAAAGTTACATGCCATTAATTTCTTTGAAAAAAGAAAAGGTTGAAGAAGTAAGGCAGGAGATTCGGAAACCAATGAATAGTCCATTGGGTTGCCGCCAAGCTTAAGCCGAAACACAATAGAGCAATCGGCCAAAAGGAACACCTACGACCCACCCCTATTCAATCGCGAAACTAACTGCACAATCTACAACTAAGTGTCCGAGCACAAGTCGCTGCAGAAAGCCAAATCCTTGGAACCTCTTACTAACATCAAACTTCGCAGGAAAAAGGTTTTGCCGAGAAATTTTGTTCCAGACAAACAAAAAAAAACACGAGCCACAAAGCCCGACACAACCTAAACCGAATGTGCAAAACCCATAGCGCAAAAAACCGCAAAAAAACACAAACGACCCACCAATGCTAAACTGCAGCAATTGCGGAACCCGAACCTCTGCCCCGGAATCAGCAGCAACCAAACAAAACTTCACGAGAAATGAAAAGAAGGAAGGAAACCCTCCACCCGGAAGGGACGAAGCGAAGCCCGAACCTTGTTACTGAGAGGATATCCGAGGGGATTGGAGCAGAAAGTGATGTGGCGGTGGTGACGACGACGACGACTATGGAGTCCCGCGAGAGAGAGAGAAGAGGAAGAAGTTCGAGCAGGAATTTCGAAGACCAGGGCTCCAATCCCTCTCTGAATCGCTCGCTAGGGCAAAGGCCATTTGGTTTGGACTCCCCACGCTCGAACTGTGTCCCGCGCACGCGGGGCTTTTTGTTTTGGCTACGCAGGGAGAAGCCCATCGCCATCCAAACGGGCCCCGGGGGGATCGCTGCAGATTTGCATCTTGACCTGTCAATTGGATGGATCGGATCGAATTAAAAATGATTCGACCAATTTAACCTGTTTTGACTTAATTTTCGATACAATGCAAATCTATTGATTCGTATCCAATCCCGACCCATATTGTTAAAACGCTTCTATATTTAACCCAATCTAGAAAAATCCATAACCAAACTAAGGTGAGAATGCGGAATAAGTAAGTGCAAGATCGAATAAGAGTGAAAGAGAATGAAGAGAGCGTCATAGAGGTGAGTCGAGTTTAAGTGAGTTGTAAACCATTTATGACTCATTTAACACTCATATTATGTTTAAATTCATTTACTGAATATAATTAACTCACATGATAACTCAGCCCGTCATATATAGATTAAGAAATAAATTTATGACTCATTTTAACAGATCGATTTACACCAAATCGCCGAACCCGAAAACCCGAAGCCCGAACTAAAACTAGATCGGTTTTATAAGGGCATGAACGTAATTTGCCAACGATTTGCTGCCTAACGTATACTAATGACGCTACGATTTGGACTAATTCAGATGATTTCAGTTTTTTTCGCCTCAGGCCAAAAAACCAACTTCAGAGGATTATCCCAGTTCGTTTCTCAATTCTGCTTTCGTTTCCTTAGTAGAATGCTAAAATTTGACTTAAATGCAAATGGCCGAATGATTATAAAGATGTAAGATGTTTGATGCTGTTTTCTAACTTCTAATATATATAAACAATGTAGAAGTCTGATACAACGAACCAACAAGGGAGTTCGAAAGCCTTTGCCGGCAAACCCGACATCGACAAGATTATCATTTCAATCGATCTTTTTCTTCCGGTCAATCCGACACCAATCCCAGAACAGATTACAACAAAATATCAGACCTCAGAGGCTCTCAGAGGAAAAGAAAAGATGTGGGAGTGAGCCTTATTCACTTGCACGTACCCAAATACATGGAAAACTTGAGAGGATAATCTCAAAAATGAACCAACAATAGTCCTCCCCAAAATTCCCATGCAGAATAAAATTATGAAGCATACAACAGGGAATGACAAGAATAATCAGCCTAAGAATTAAATAATGCTGTCTTAATCTTAACACCGCAATGTCTTCACAGCAGTTTGGAAGGAGTCTCAACACGCAAGCGCCACCAGAGACCAAGTTGCATCCTGCTCCTCCAGCGCATTGAATAGGTTAATAACTTGAATAACCAACAAGCAGCTAATCGCCTCACAAAAGTCCTTACTAGCCCTAACTATATCTCTCAAGCAAGAAGATCGCCCTGTAATTTAGAAGCTTGTCCGTTGCTACTTCTCTCAAGCTTTTGGTGCCTCACCGTGATTGCCGGGAGTATTGTTTCTAGGGGCACTAAATAACCCAAAACTCGAGCGTGAGGGGCTGGGAGGAGTCTCAACTTGCTTAGACTCTCCTGTTAAATGTGAGGTACGTGTATCAGAAGGCGATTGCCTCCTTTGATATGGAACGTCTTGCCTCCTTTGATATGGAACCTCTTGCCTTCTTTGATTGGGGACCTCTTGGCTCCTTGGAACCTCAGGCTGTAACCTGTCAGAGTCTCTCGCCCCTTGGCTCCAAGATTGTGTAAACCTATTATTTGCTCCTCCCCTCACATACCTGTTCTCGGTTTCTGTGGAAGGCTCTCCCATGTTCATTGAATAATTAGGGTTTGATGAAGAGGGAGCTCTTCCAGGCCTATCGTTCACTTTGGAACCATAGTTCGCGCCACCAGTTGACCAGCCAGCATAGCTGCCTGCAGCGTTTCCATTGTTAGAAAGCATCTCTTTCTCAGATTCCAAGCCTTTTTCGCCAAGGTCCTCATCTTCAGAGTCTCCACTTGGTCGAGCTACCGTGTATTGTTTCGTATCTCCAAATAGCTTCTTACCACTCTTAGATGGACCAAACTTTGCATGCCTGACAATGACATAAGCCTGTTGCTTTTCCACCCTTGGTCCACTTTCTACAACCGCTACATCCTCAATCTGCACAGATATTTAGTACAAGAAACTTCAACCAGATAGCAAGTTAAAAATGAACGAGCATGACATCTAAAAACCAATGAGAATCAAAATCTTTAAGAATATATGGCTGACCAATGCAGAAAGTCGAGTTAACAATCCTCCCAAATCCTGATCTTCAGTACCCATTGCCCTACACTGTAAGAGCCATAGGTGAGCAAGCATTTTAATAAAGACAGAGGGAAAATCCCGTGTAGCCTTGTCTGTACACTTCAAGAGCCCATATCCAGTGAATATGTGAATGAAACAAGACTTTATGTGAATTTTACCAAAGTAGGAACCTTTTGGTTCCTAGTGCTACTAGTACACACACCACACGCAAACAAACTGATCTGCACAAAATGATAAGAGAATGCTTCCATATTCATGTCCTTGTAATAATATATTGCCCAATTTAAGATTTGTCATTAAGAAGTGAGATTGGGGCTTGCTGCTATTTCCATAGCATGTTTCTAACAAGGATAAACAATCAGCACATGTTGTTGGAATCCTTCTTAAGCAGGAGAAGAACACTAAACTTATGTCTTCACAATCTCTTTTCCAAATAATACCCAGCATGGTTCATAAATCATCACAGCAAAAACAAGCCTTCCTAAGCTTCAAGACAAGTCGAACTCTCCACACAGAAGCAGAATCCACAAGAACATCAGGCCGCTATTCCAAATTGATGAAGAAACACAAGAGCATATGCAAATCAAACTCTCATGCAACCCTCGCAATTGCCTAAAATTACCGGAACTGAAATTCAATTGGCATGATCCCAGAAACAAAGCATACATAATTGTGCAGTTGACATGTTTATATGCTTTAACCAAGAAAAAACTAATCCAGACTCATACACTGGAGAGCAAAATGAGCCAACAAGCATCACGTGCCATAAACTAGAAAATGTGGCACGAGTATATTAAGGCACACTGACAAACACTCTTAGGTACCTTCACACGGTAGCCACGTTCCATCAACCTTTTAACCGTCTCTGCTTTCATCTTTAGGTCCTTCTGTTCCTGAAAGCAACAAGGAGAAACACAGAGTCAATCTTCCTTCATAATTCATGAATTGCTCACATATGCATGCACACGCATATAACATGGGATAGTCAGTGAAGAGTCAAGAGTTAAATAGGGAGGGGTGTGAGCGTGCGCTCATGCATGCACTTGTGTGTGTAAAATTGCTATCATGATCTGTGGGAACAAGTCTGATCAGAAAATAAGAAAAGGCAATGATCTGTCAGTACGGGGTAAGAGAGAAAAAGTGACTCACTGTCTTTCCCGTAAAACGAACTTCTTTGCAATCTCCTTTTCGTAGAGTCACCCCTGACTGCATAAACACGAATTTACAAACTAGGTAGTATGTCCCGAGAGAGAAATAAATGTCTGACAAACCAACTTGGGAGAGAGAAGCTGTAGAATTCTTAGGGAACTAATTACCTGACTTTTAGCACGGTCCTTCTCCTTCAGCTGCTGTTTGTACTTCTCCCTATGGAAGTCCATAATTTTACAAACAGGTGGATTGGCATTTTTCTGAACCTGCATATTGCATGGATTTAGAAGCTCGCTTTGTCTTTCTTGTACCCCAAAACGGCAAATATGTACACTCATTTGCTCGCTCAACCAAGCCCACATGCTTCCAGGAGACTTGACCGACTAGGCAAGTAACAATATTCTTGCAAAATTGACCTTTCTTTAACTCCCAACATTAGGCTGGGCTGAGTACCAAATATAAAAGGTTGGACAGATACTAAGACACATAAATCTAGACAAGGATAACCAATGTCCACCCCTCGACATATGGACAACTGAGTCCACGAACTATAGACGGTGTCTAGCCAGGCAAGAAGGTTATGGAGTAAGCTGTGATAAGTGACTCACTGTCGATTGCTAAAGACTGATAGTGCCATTGTCACATATAGACCGCCATTTTTGGACATCTCTTTTGACCCATTGATGATCATTATAAACTAAACAAAAAGAAGATACTAAACAATCAGAGGAATATCTATGCTGTCGATTGCACCAGCTCTTAATTAACCTATCGCATTTGAAACTTCATTTGGATAATTACAATGTCCATGACTTCAAACGATGAGACTTGAAGTGGCAAATTTACCTCAACTAGATCAAGATTGAGTTTTCTGGCTCGTTGAAGTGCTTCATGGATTGAGACTACAAAATGCCCTGCACATGTAGAATGATCGTATGAGAGCTTTGAATTACCACTATCTTAAACCATACAATGAACATCCAGTCACATTGTTTAACAATAACACCAGAGAGAATAGATGAATACCCAGCTACAAAATCATATGCAAAAATTCGCAATACCAGTACAAAGCAGTAATATTTTTATCATCTTAATCATTGACATCAAAACCTAGATCACGGGGCATTCGTGAGGCGTAAATTGGTCATTACGTTTCCAGGGTTTTAATCCCCTGCTGCTGCTAAAAGTGGACATGGAGATCAAAAGCTCAGGATAGTACAAAAATATGCAAGCAAAATGAGACGACACATAATCTGGCAGGACCAGATCGACTTCTTCTTTACTTGCCCATGAAAAAATGAATGGACATTTTTTCATGATGTCCAAACCCATTTTAGGCCTTTCATGAGTACATTCCATCGTCAACAATGACTCAGACTTAGATATACCCTAATTCATCCACTCCAAGAACTAGAGCCAACACCCTTTAACACAAACCTTCCATGCAAAATTTTGCAGAGAAAGCAACCTATGTAGAAGGCATGCTCCAAATAAACCGGCAAAATATTCCTCATTCATATAACAACCGAGAAGCAATACTGTAACTTTGATCCTAAGAGATGTACCTTCGTCTGTTACAACCCTGACTATGCTCGCTTTAATTTTCTCATTCAGGCACGGCGCATTGGAGTCCTTAGCATCCTCTTTCGGCCTAGCCTGCCATTTTGTCCGACAAGCATGGTCAGTCAGTCAATACGCAAGTACTCGAGAAATGAAAAATAAACAATGTCTGCATTGCTATTATCACAAAAAACGAAACCTCCACAACACAGTGATATAGTTCCAACCAAGCACACTAATACCAATAGCTAGGCAAAAGCGCCTCACTCAATATGGAGCAAAAGTAATCCCTTTCGACTCGAAAAACTGAATCTGGCAGTTCTCGATCACGCGAAACAACAAAAACAGTCCCAAACGTCATCGAAGAAACCCGAATTACGCAGTTTCCTCCATTACCTGAACTGGCGCGGCGAAGAACCTCACGTTGCTGCAGAAATCGGTGGGTCGCCGGCGGATATCGGCGAGAGGCGCCGGCTTCACGCCGATGGAGGCACTCGAAGCAGCGCAATCGTGCGCCGAAGCGTAGACGGATTGAGCGTAGCATGACTTGATGTAGCTCGACGCGTGACGGAGCTTGGACTGGTGAAGTCGATACCAGAACACCATCTCTTCCTCCTCTACGAAGAGATGTAGAGCATCCTCGACCTTGATCTGGAGGACGGAAAACCCTAATCGGAGCTGATCGATTTCCCCAAATTTGCCATAACCAGTGCCTACAGAGAAGCACGATCATGAAGTTGGAGCGAGCAAGACCCGCGAAGAGAAACGGGTTCGACCCATTTCCATTGATAACGGGGCCCAAGTTCAGACAAGGCTTGGGGCAGCTAGGAAAGCAAGCCGAACATGTCGGGCCTTAACTAGTGATGCATGTTTTGGCCCCTACATGGTCATTTGTATTGTGTTTTGAGACGAAGGTGACTAGGGGTGAGTATGGGTTCAGGATAAAACCGGAATCCGAACTAAACCGATCATAAGAACCTGTCCGGTTTCAAGTTTCCACGGTTACCGATCTGCTTCCTGGTTCCAAAAAAGGTGGAATTGATACTGTGAGATTCGAATCCTGATTCTTGGGTAAGGATCAAACCGAAAACCAATGAATCACAATTGCTTATTTTTTATTTTTTTATATTATTTTATTTTTATGGATTGTTTTTGTTGTTATTGCGTTCACTTTCATCTTGCTTGACTAAAAATGAAAACAAAAAAAAAGAAACTAAAAAAAAATGGGCCAGTTCCCGAATAGACTCGGGAACCGATTGACATGGTAAGTTTTAGGTTTCAAGGTAAACATGCTAGATTGTAGGTTGTAGGTGGAACCTAAATCAACTCTGGAATCGCTTACCCCTAAATGTGACTGCAGAAAGGGGTATTAATAGGTCGTGTCGAGTCGGGTCAAACCTCACTAGTACCCCGAATCGAACCGAACGTGGAGAATATAAGCTTCTTATGACTTGGTTCGAGTGGGTTCAGTTCGGTTCGGTTCTTTCCTTCTTCTTCTTCGTCGCGCAGAGGCAACCAAAACTGCCATCCCCTAAGACTTCGCCAATTGAAGTTTCCCTTGTCTTCTTCTCAAGTTGATCTCACGTAATCGCTGATTAAATCTCGTCGGAGTCTCGAGCTCATTCTCACAACACTTAGCAAAATGGATCTACAACTGGCCTTCCTGGGGTTCCAACAATAAAAAAAAAAACCCAAAGGCTTCCCAAAGCTTCTTTAACGAGGCTCTCGAAAGGTGAAGTGCCGATCGAAAAGTTCAATGAGCACATTGGCACGTCCTAATCGCTTTGTCGGATTGGTTCTTGATTAAAGGTAGTTGGAGAGTTTCGGATCGTAATTAGGCCGAGCCGAGCCCTGTGAAATGAATGGATATCCGGCAGAACATTGTGAGCGAGTGTTTCTGCTTTCGAGGAAGAAGACGAAGAAAAAAACCATACACTTTCGTGTTTCGGTTCAATTCGAGTAATTTGAATCATCGAGTCCAATTTCCTTTTCGTATCTATTGACCGAATCAAAAAACAAAACCGACCCCGATTCGGGATTTTTTTTGACACCCCTTGTCACATAGTTTTACTCGAGTTAAGAAACCCCTAATCAGAAGTAACACGACAAAAATCTTGACGTCATGCAATACGTAATGCGGATTGGTGTCTCGAGGCCGGTCGCTTCAAAGGAAGCACCGCTCGCCCACTAATAAACAAATTGTAGTTCGATGGAGAAGTTGAATAATTAATAATCAAATATTAAAGCAAAAGGACCTAGCAATGCGTAAGTAGATAATCTTATCTTTCTCCTATATGATTTCTATATGAAAATTTGAATCCTCTCTCTCTTTTTATAATATAACTTTTCTAATAAAAAAACCTTAAAATCTCGAATTATCATATCTATTTATCGCCCAATTTTATTTTGTTGTGTGCATTTTCGTCAATGATTTCCTTCGATTATTCAAATATCCAAATATCTCGTAATAAAGTGTTTTTCCTTAATCGTCCAAATATCAATTTTTTTTTATACACATAATGCGTGGACACATTTGCTTGTTAACAAAACGGCGATGCGAGATATATTTTTTTCATGACGGGTAGAATTTTAGAAGGGCAATAGTCTCCTCCTACGGGCCTTCCATAACTCTCGTGTGTAGCTTACAAAGTCTATTCATTGCCCCACGTGCAAATTTAACCCGAATTCAAAATGGGTGAAGTGTATATCTGTAAATCATTAATCAAAGAGGTACGGTCGTCGGGTTTGGAGGAATAACGTAGCCAATTCTTAAATCGCTTCTGGATCTTCCCGGGATCATAAGATCTAGATCTTTCGAAGTCAATGGTCCATCATTGTTCCTCTAAAGGAAACTTTGACCTACGTGAAGCATAGACACTCAATAAATCAATTAACTTAATTGAGTTTGTTGCCCGTTGGTCAGCTAAATGGGGCTTCGCATCGCTCTTTAACCTGTATAATAAAGGATTAATACTACACAAAATCTCAAATTGGTACATCTGTAACAGATTTGCCCAAAATTAATTTTTTTATTATAAAAAACTCTAAACTGATATACCCGTGATAAATTTACCTTCTGTTAGTTTCCGTTAAATTTTACAGTCAAATTATTGAATTGGATGACATGTGATAATTGACGAATGTACCGGTTTGGAGTTTTGCCCTCAATTTATCACGTGCGCACCTGATTGTGGTTTTTCATCGTATTAATTAAATATAACGAAAATTAACGGAGGGTAAATTTATCACAAATGTATCAGTTTTAGATTTTTTGCTGTCAAAAAATTAATTTTGGATATATTTGTCACGGGAATACCGGTTTGGGGTTTCTTCACGGTATTAACCCTAAGAGAAATGTGCATGGGAGGGAAGTCCTTCATTCCAATCACCTCTTCTTCCCCCCATATAAACCTATCATTCCCAATTCTTCAATTCGATATTCAAAACAACATATTCCCCGATGACTTTTTGCTTGGATCCATACCAAGATTTTCTCGACGAATCTCGATTAATTTGCCCGATGTCTAAGTGAGGAACGCCCGAACGTCACGCTCGACGTTCGGAACATTTGACCGACGACTATTCTCTACCACAGGAACCCAAAATTAAAAAAGTCGTATCGCCAACATCAAAGCTTGCATCATCCATGAGACCTAAACGAAAGCTACCCCTTCGTGCATTCTAATTCTATACGTTCAGCATTGCGAATTGGGTCGGAGACGCAGCTGTCAAAGAGAGATTTTAGGGCTTGTGGAATTTGGGGCACTCAAAAGATACGTTAAAGAGGGGGGATGCATGGTCCAAGTTAGCCGTCAATGGCGATGTAACGAAGAATTGACAAAAAGCATAGCCCGAATTCCCGCGAGACCCCGGTCGACGAATGAGTCCCAAGATTCCTCGAACGTGTTCGCTTCTTCTGAGGAAGGCTTCAGCTCGTGCTATCTCTTTCTAGGCCAACGTTAGCTCCGCATAGTAAAATAAGTATTGCTAAAACGACGCGTTGAACTGCGAATCGCGAGCTTTCACGCAACCGAGCCGTATTCAAACACCAACATGTAGCTTGATACGGCGTTTAATAAGCCGATCTCATAACTAAAAACCTCCGTAACTTTAATGATTTCCTCGTGTCTCGTGCCATGCCCTAGATTGATTTCTTGCACGGATGCTAGGGAACCTCCAGCTTTGATATCCTTGTACAAATATTTTCCGATCAACGTCCTTTTAACCTTTTGTATTAAATAAAATTCGAGCTTATTTCCCTTCATTTTCTTTCTAGGTTAATTTTTTAGTTAGGGATAATGACACAAATGATATGAATTTTTATTCTAATGTGCAATTTGGTCCCTAAACTTTCAACTTGTTCAATGTGATCCCTGAACTTTATCCTAACGTGCAATATAGTTTCTAAACTTTCAATTTGTTCAATACGATCCCTGAACTTTTGGTTAATGCTCAATTTGATTCATAGACTATATGAAAATGTTCAATATTGTCCAAGTTTAAGGACACCATTGAACAGTCTCATGCGGTCCATGGACTAAATTGTGTTAAAGTTCAAGGATCACATTGAACAAATTAAAAATTCAGGAATCACGTTGCACATCCGGTTAAAGCTCATGAACCATTTGTGTCATGTTCTATTCATCGAGAATGTGTACAAATCGGAAGATTAATTCGTGTATTACTATATTGCGAACGCGTCTTTCATTTTTTCTAGGAAAGTTCCCCGTGGCACGGTCTTGGAATGCCCCCCTCCCCGGATAACAGAAACACTAGTTACTCCCTTTGCTCCTATGGATCATTTTATCCATCCGGTCAAATATGATCACGAGTCAAAATTGGGATTCGGTCAGCACACGCGCGTGCTTAAGAAGGAAATGTTTTGACTACGTTAGGAAATAGAAGCGTGATTTCCATTGCCGTACAGAATGATGTGAATTGTTTTTTTGTGCGGTGATGAGAAGATTCAATTTGAGTTCAGAGGTCCACGAGAAGGTTAATAGGATAGCACGATAGCGACCATTTTCACATTGACCATTTAGGAACGCCGCCTGTCCATTGTTTAGAACGGTCTTTTCTTCTTCTTTTTTTCTATTTTAATTTTCAATTCATTCTCAGATTTTTGTCATATCTCTTTGCAGATCGCGGGAGTCGAATCCCACATTTGAAACTAAACGTCCTCATCCCTAGCCTCCCTAAGAAGGTGAGGAATCGAACTCTCCACCTCTCCTTTTCCAAATAAGAAGAGTGGTCATTGGAACAATTCTTGGTGGTTGAAAATAGAACAGTTTACTTTCAATAAAAACGTCCATACCTTCGATAAATACTCGAGATTGAAAAGTGCATTTACGAACGGAGAGAAATTCACACAAGCACGCGATCAGACAGTCACACCCATCATATCGACCATATTCTGCATTAAGAGGAGGAACGATGCTCGGACTATCGATGGCATTTGGTGTTCGATCTCGAACTCGATACATCTCCATGCAAGTTTACCGGCTCGTAAAAATTACGATTCTTAGGCTACGGGGTCATTTTTTCTTTCCCTTCCTCTTCCTTCAATGCGACCCCCTATCGTACTCGACTGCAATAAGTTTCTACACGGCAGATGCATCACATAAAGAAATGTGGGACAAACAATAGCTATTATTATGGGCAAGTTGGTTCTACTTTTGGGCAAGTGAGATGCAAGAAAAGATGAATCCAAGTGGGGAAGAGGAAGTGTCTCGTCGCCTGGTGGATGAATTAGGTCGGGGGCCAAATCGTAATGTGGAAAGCGACGGATCCTTTGCTTCGCCAACAGGAGAGAGGGGGCTTATCGTCACATGCGATGGCAGAGGGATGTTCATTCTCGTTCTTCGTGGAAAACGATCGTTTTGCCTTTGCACTATCTGCGGGCGTCGTTTCTTTTGCTGCTTTCATCGCACTACGAGCGTACCCGAGCGAGTGGGATTGACCTCCTCGATCTAACTTCAAAGACGGGTCACGAGGATGAATTTCTCCTAAGTTCACCCGAAAGATTACGCGTGACGAACACGAGTCGAAGACGGAACGTTTCGTGCTAATCACTATGTTTCTTATTAATGAGTTATGGACATTGGCATCGCTGAATTGATGCAGCCAGCCCATCAGTGGCATGATTGGAGGGAAGATGGAGATTAATTTTGCCCGTATCCATGATACGGAGGAGAGAACACGAAACTTATCGTGACAATGTTTGCCGATCGGGATGCTTATTTTGTGCTTAAAAAAAAATGGGTCTCTACTATTCACGCTCGATTGCATCCGAAGAACACGTTTTGCACCCCACTGGAGGACGCCGCTCGACTAAGTTTACAGGAGTTAACTATAAATCGTTCCGAACCCTTAATCACCGGCCTTCTGTCTGCCTGACGCAACTTGTGACCAGCACAAGTTCTAAGATGGGGATCCCATCCGGTGTTCGCTCATCGATCTTGACCGGATACAAACGGAACACCGGCCTTCGAAACGGACCCCGTCTGTTCCACCGGTACATGGACCAAACATTTTTGCAGCTGGCGATCAATGTGCACCGTCCCATGTCCTAATAATGCAGTGCACATAACATGATCAAATCTATCAGATGGTGCTCTCCAATTTGCTTACGCTAAGCAATCACCATCCACTAGCAGCAACAGCAACTAACCTTGCGAATTTGTGGACCAGAAACAACCTCTTTTCGCCTGTCTCTTTGTCGTGGCCTCGACCCCCTCCTTCTCTCGAAACGAAAGCAGTGCTTGTCCTGATTTGTGTTCGTGCGGATCAATCGAACTGTCCCATTTATCGCTTTTAACTGTATTACCTAAAAACGTCGTTGTCTGATTCGGCATCGGATAGACCTTATCCCACCCATGAACGAAGCTCTTCGATTTCTATTTCTTTTCCTTCGGTGGACGCCTCGAGTTCACGGTGCGTGAAGCAAGGTGTCATACTCGATTCATTCGCCGTGCGTGCGACAGTAGCTCGAAGAACTGTTCTTATTTGATGAAGATTTGCGTTGGACGCAATCAAGTGGGACGGTTCATGTCGACATGTCGTGATCGTAACCGCGTCTCAATCAATTCGTGATCATATCTGGATATTGTCACTTCCATTTCGCAAATCAGAAGATTAACCTACGACATAAATTAACCTAACGGGCCACGAACCATTTCTTCGCTTATCTATATTGACTTTAAATTACGATGATCTTATTCAAAATTCGTTAAATTAGACTTACCGTGACAAGTCTTTGAGTATGTAGATGAGAAACTATAAGGCAAAAATTTAAAAGAAAAGAATCAAATGAGCTTCGGAGGTTTCTCATGTATGTCCGTGGTTTTAATCACTGATTGGGAAAATTACGTATAATATCACGCGCACTTCATATGGATCGATAGCGGTGATTTGCGACGGACCAAATTTTCTTTGAAAAAAATAAATAAATTTCAAGTAAACAATTGTTTTCTTTAACATTAAATTTTTCATGAAACAAACCCAATCTAATATTGTACTTTTAGTTTTTGGTCGAAAATCTAATATTGTACTTTACATAGTAATTTATTTACTTCATGGGCTCTCTCTCTCTCTCCCTCTATCTCGCGTTTTGCGGTATTGTGGAGCCCAGAGCTGGACCTCCGCTTTGCGGTCTCCCAAGCTCTCCATAGTTGGTCTATCATGGAACTTGTCTACCTCTCGCTGCTCTTTTTATCCTTTAGCTTCTAGGCCGGACTTTCAGACGCTTCTTCGAAAACAACGTCCTTCCGCTTCGCTACTTTTGAACTGGTCATCTTTGATCAATATTGTCATCCGCTCTCCATCAGACAGCGAGATAGAGGATAACCCAAAAAAGCCCACCAAAATCCGAAGTCCAACCTTTGATTCTCCGTTCCAACGACAGCACAGTGACCATCATCTATCCTCAGCTCGCTTCGTTTTCCACGTTCTTTCTGCCAAGATTGCTGGGTAAATGCTAGTTTGTATTTTCTTCCTTTCGTTGGACAAAAGCTCTCACTTAATGCTATCGGTGCAATGTGCAGAGCCTAGAAGAAGTCGAACCATCCTGGGTTTTGGTGGGCTTTTGGGTTCTTTAACTTTTTCAACACGGAGACTAACGAGCAAGGTACGGCTAGGCCTTTCCTTCTGGAATCCCAACTGTAGTCGCTGACCAAACTCTTGTTCGAGGAGGGGGCAAAAAGTGACTTTGACCGGCTGATTTTCAACACTCGATACACGTGTTCAGTTTGTTCTTCTTCCCTGTGTCTGAGGGTAACCAAGGTGTTGCCAAATTTCAAACAATTCTACCTTATTTTGGCTCTTGTAGGTCATCCTGATCGTGTTGTTTTTTTAGCAATTGGGTTTTCTGTGGTCTGAGAACTTGTTCCAAGTTGACATGAGAGGTGGGAAGGATATCTGAGTCAGACTCATCCAAGGTATACTATCATCCGCGTTAAAGGGCCTTTGTGATTTCCTTTTATATCATTATATCCTTTTGACGGATACATTATTTTCTTGGTTGTTATCTGACAGGGTTGTGACTTTGAGAATCTGCAAATAGCTGTTTGAGGCTTGTTGGGGTCATCATAGTTGCGTTGAGTTGAGTGTATAGACAGTAAACGGATGTGGAGTAATTTGGGGGTTGTTTGGTTGAGATGAAGGATGTTCTCAGAGCTGATAAATCTGTTGAGGTCCTGCTTCCTTTCGAGGTCAGATCGATATGTTCACACGGGTTCGGACGCTGGAGGCCGCCAAGACGGGCTGCTATGGTTCAAAGATTCGGGGCAGCACTTGAGTGGCGAATTCTCAATGGCTGTTATCCAGGCCAATAATTTACTAGAAGATCAAAGCCAGATCGAGTCGGGCAATTTGAGTTCCCTCGAGTCCGGCCCCCACGGTACCTTCGTTGGCGTCTATGACGGGCACGGTGGACCGGAGACGTCGCGATATGTTAATGATCACCTCTTTCAGCATCTCAAGAGTAAGTGGATTCGAACTTCGCTAGAAAGTTCCTTTTAACTCTAAATTGAGCTACAATGATGTAGTTTGATGTTTTCCGAAGCTCGCTGCTTCTGAGGAAGCGAGGTTATTGACGATTGGAAATATTAAAAAGGTTATGGCTTTGGCAGAGTACTGGGGATATAAACTTAAAGAAATTATCAGATTTATCGATTGTCACTGCCATCGCTAGATGGTCATTGGTGGTGGATGAAAAGTCTTTGGGGGTGTTATGGAGAGTTAAACCATTGTTTGCTATAATTCGCCTTTGTTTTGATAAACTACATTTTATTTAACGAAAAATATTCTTTTTGTTGAAGTTGAGCAGACTTCGCAGGAGCTGTCACTCTGCATGCGATTGCCAAGAGGACTAGTAGCTTGATTACAATGATTCTAATCATTTCATTATGTTTAATTTGTGTTGCTATTTTAAGCAAATACGTGTTCTACGCTTGACTGAGGAAATGCTTCATTTCTTTTACTGACTAAATGCTTTTCAATTGATCTCGTATTTTCCTGAAGTAGTCAGAGAGCTAGCTCCCTTCTATATTGGTTAATTGCCCTCATCTTTCAGGGTTGATATCGGAGCACCAATCGGTGTCTGCTGATGTTATACGGGAGGCATTTCAAGCAACAGAAGAGGGGTTTATGTCTATTGTTACCAACCTCTGGCCGGTAAAACCACAGATTGCAGCAGTCGGATCATGTTGCCTCGCTGGCGTTATTTCTGACGATACCCTTTACATAGCAAATCTTGGTGACTCAAGAGCTGTTCTGGGAAGAGCGGTGAAGGCGACAGGGGAGGTACTGGCCATTCAGCTGTCGACTGAGCACAATGCAAGTATAGAGTCTGTGAGACAGGAGTTGTGTTCCGTGCATCCCGAAGACTCACAGATTGTAGTTCTAAAGCACAATGTATGGCGGGTGAAGGGTCTCATACAGGTAAGTTATTGCCAGTAGGACTTCGTCGATTGGAATATGCTCTTACCGTAGATAATCTGCTTGTATATGTTAGTTAGTGATTACATCAATTTAACATCTTTGATGGTACATGCTAGGTTAGTGCTTGCTTTTGGCAAACGTTTTTTGTTATCAGGAAGTGGATTTTTACGCTTGAAATGGTGGCCTTTCTAAAAGGTTGCTTGAAGGTAAAACAAACACTACCAAGTTCCAGTGGGAACATGAACAAGTTTAAGGAGCTTTTCCTAGCACAAGTCTGGCCAGCAACCTACAACCTTCTGCAATTACAAAAGCAGAAACTTGAAAAATTGTTCTGGCAAGGCAATAGAAAGAAAATATTAGCAAAGATTAAATTTTTGGCCCAAAAGTTACAATAAAGTTGGATTTATCAATATCAGTTGATTCTGCCTGTAGCCGTGCAGCTTACTTGTCCTGTCTTCTGCTCTCCCTCTCTCTATAAGTAGTTTTCATATTATCCTTTCAGTGTCATTGGAAATGGTCTGAAGTTTTCAGCTTTGGTCTTATGCATATTATAACGTGCTTTCCTGAGAAACCAACATATAGTGGTTCCTAAATTTGTCATTTGCTCATGAGATTTCTTTCGCTATAATTTGACTGGTAAATCTGTAGGTCTCAAAGTTATGTTCATGGCGTTTGGTTTTGCAGGTTTCAAGATCTATTGGAGATGTATATCTGAAGAAGGCTGAGTTCAACCGAGAGCCTTTGTATGCGAAGTTTCGCCTTCGTGAACCTTTCGAAAAACCAATATTAAGTTCAGAACCATCAATCTCAGTGCAACAGCTTCAGCCACATGATCGGTTTGTCATTTTTGCATCTGATGGACTTTGGGAGCACCTCAGCAACCAGGAAGCAGTAAATATAGTTCAGAATCACGCACGCAATGTAAGTTTAACTTGCTACCTTTTCTTTTTTCCCATTAAAATAACCTAAGCGTCTAATTTGCATTCAATTAGCATGGTGTCCATGGAAAGTATGGGTGCATTACTTTTGCTGTTTAGAAAAATCATATTCTATTCTAGTATACTTCTGGACTGATCTGCATTGAAGAAACACGCCAGCATAGTCATGAACAGAGGATACAAAGATGCAATATCATATTTGACTAGGAAAAATATGTGCGCTTAAACCCCCCGACCTTCGCTGCAGGGAAGTGCGAGGCGGCTAGTGAAAGCTGCTTTGCAGGAAGCGGCAAGGAAAAGAGAAATGAGGTACTTGGACTTGAAAAAGATCGACCGGGGAGTCCGCCGGCATTTCCACGACGACATCACGGTCATTGTCGTGTTTCTCGATTGGAATATGATGAGCAAAGCGAGCTCAGTCAGGTCAGCCAAATTATCAATTAGAGGAGGCGGCATCAACTTGCCTCCCAATACATTGGCTCCCTGGTCTACTCCTGCGGAGGCCAGCGATAATTGAAGAGGCTGCTCTTGGGATTTCTGTATTTGTCATTATGCCGTTTTAGATTTATTTCTATTGTATACCGGGCAGCTTCCTTAGCAGATAAAGAGGAGATGGCCATAAAACTCTTTCATCTGAACTGGGACTTAGAATGAAACTGTGGTCTTTGGAAAGCAAAGAACTCCGTAACTATAGTTTTATCAACTGTGTGCGGTAAGCTAGCTCCTCTACAAGCCTTTCTCACTAGCAATTTTTGCCTTCGTTTAGTTTAGCTGTATATCAGCTCTGTAAATGATGTTACTTGTGAAATTAATTTGCCTTTCTTTTAGGTTCTGTTGGGTATTTTGACCTGGTTTTTATGAGTGGGAGTTCTTTTCGGGATGTTATGATTCCCAATGCCAAAACAGGAGAGAGTGACTTTCAGTCCTATGCTCATTTCAGTTCATGTAAATCTTATTATGAGAAATAGGTACAGACTCTTGGTCATGGTCATGGATGTTGTTATGCTGTGTATTAACTGGGTATCATATGTGGTTAGTGATCTTAAGTGCTGACCGCCAATCCCTAAGAAAAGATTTTTCTATGGGCTGGCCTTGAACATTCTTTGTAAAAAGAACATAGCGAGCATAAGATTAGAGCAAGAGAAAATAGATACTTTAAACTATACAAATTTTTAAATACTTACTTGAGTATGTACAGAGGGAGTAGGGGTTTTACGAGGCAAGAGAAAGGCTACTTGTCTTTTCCCCCCCTCTCACTGGTCAGGCTCTGTCAGAGCATATTCTCGGTCACCGAGAAACCAAAATCTTGTCGTCTAATTTGCAATTTGTTATTATTACATGTCCTTAAACAAGTCACAGCCATTAGATTAACTTGCACGGTCCTCCATGCCACTATTGGGAGCCCAAAATGCAGGTGTGTGTGGCATCCCAAAGTACTTTTAAATTTTCTTTGGGAGTAGAAATATGTGAATGAATAAGACCAGTTATTACAGGGAAAATTTGTTTCTATGTTCTTGATAATCCAAAGAATAAGTTTGTATTTCAAGCTCATATTTTTCTGACTACAAAGGCGAGTACACTTTTTCCCCTGTGAACTTAGCACAAGGTCTGTGCGCTGCAGATTAGAATAAGTATGTGATAAAATTTCTTCTCCAGAAGATTAGTCAAAGACATGGCAATTTGGGTTGCATGCATGCAGTTTCTAACGCAATTTACTCAGATGTTGAACTTTTCTGTAGACAAAAGAGAAATTTGCATGAGCCCACCTGAATATAACATATTGTCAGCTTTGCTTCAGAAGTTTAGCTTCCATATGGTGGTGTTACATAACAATGTGCCTGCACCTAGTAAGTGGGGATTAAGTATATAAAATATAGAAGGATTTTCGTGTCTCCTTTTCTTTCATATTTTTTTGCTTTCCTTTTATTTTTCATGGGTTGAAAGCTAGTGCAGAGTGGCTGCAGCATTTTGGACTTCCATAAAGAAGACGTTTCTGTTATTAAAGGGAAATACTCTGTTATGGGGACAACTCCGCATCAATCCACTCATTTTTAGCAGATAATTTCTCCTCACTGAAATTCAGCAAAACATGTTCATTCTGTCCATGCAAAAATCTTCATCAGCTCTCTTTGTAATTAGTATTGACCATTGAACAAATGCTCCTTTTTTTCTGACCCAAAAATGTGGAAGAAAAAGGAAAATAGTAGCATATATCACTTCACTTTCCCATGTCGAGCCAGAACTTGGTCTCTCTCTCTCTCTCTCTTTCAACTTGAAGTCATGAATGTCGTGAATGTCTGGTGTTTCGTGTGCCTTGACTGCCTCCCTCTTACTAGCGTAGGGTGGAGTTAGTTATGAGATGGGTGGTCTTATTCTTGGGCACAGGTTTGACTAGCATTTTAATTTTGTACCGTATCTCAATGATGGTTTGACCCTTTGACTCATCGTCATGGGTAAATGAGTTCTCTGTACTTTTTAAGAGCCTAGAATGAAGTTTCTGCGCAGAGTTTGAGGTCATCCAGCCCAAGTCCTCTTTATATTTAGTTTGATTCTACTTCTTAGCCTTCTTTGTTTTGGTATCTTGTCCATGTTCGCAAGCAAAAGGGAAGTCGTAAAAAGTGGTACGATATCGGGAAGTATACACAGTTTTTAACCTATAAACTTATTTCTAATTGATAATCACATAATTTTGCCCAATCGCGTGACCGAGACAATCGATAGACTTTCTTTTACAAGTGACAAAGTCTAAAATAATTTGATATGGTAATTCAATCATAAATCTCTGCATTTTAAAACATGTTCGATAACTTGATGAGCTATTTAAATGAGGTGAAACTCGGAACGAAAATGGATTATTTCTGAAACACATTGAAATCGTTCAAAATCTCTCTAGTTTGAAAGATGTGAACAACAATGGATGCTATATAAACAACTCATAGAGCTAAAATGTCTTTGATCCAAATCTATGATGTTTCAACAACGGATTATCCCCTTTGTGAACATGCCAGTTGTTTCTGTTTTCTCCAAAGGGATAGCAAAGTAATCCGAGAGATTGTCTATTTTTCGTTTTTCCTTAAGGTCATTAGAACCGATAGAATCAAGGTGAGAAGCTGGTAGTAGTAGGTAGAGGCATAAAAAAGAGTCGAGAATCAAATGGGTACTTTCTTGATCCCTTTCATGGGCCATCAAAGCTTCCCTCACATGACACGCCAATATATTCACTTCCAAATCTATGACGAATCGTCATGCGGCACTAGATTCAGAATCTCAGTGCCGTTTTGCTGTGGAGTTTCAGAATAGGGTTAGTTTTTTGGCCAGCCTCTCAAGAAAATGACAGTGTGGCACAGTAATGCGGCGAGGCGAGGTGACTCTCGCTTCTCCAGAAACTCTCCACTACATATGAAATAAATAATGCTTGGGACAAGCACAATTACACCCTACGTCAGGAGTGGTTTTACGAGGTAAGTAACGCAGTCAGATTTGTATAATGACAGGAGAAAATACCACCAGAGACAGGACAATTAATGAACCACCCCTCTCTCTCTCTCTCTCTCTCTCACGCTCTCACTAGACTAGTCGCTCTGCACTGGTCACAGTGAATGAATGACCACGTTTGGCTTCTCTCTCTGACCCTCCCTGCTGGTTCCCTCTAAAATCTCTGCAGAATCAAGCAGAGCCCTTTAATAATTTCACTTTCTTTTTCCTCGTTTTTTTTTTAAGAGTCACGTATGGAATGATAAACCATGGTTGTACTTGTGCACTCGCTAACTCATGCCTCCTAATTACCAAACAGCAAGCACAAGGACTTTCTCTGTCTCGCTCCCGCTCTTTCTCGAGCCCCCTACCTTTACTTACTCTACCTATGCTCCGGCTGCGTTTTCCCCTGTTGTAGTGTAATCTCTCTTTCTCTGTCCATATTCCCTTCTAAAATTTTATATTAGAAGAAAAACTCTCCATTCTCTTATTTCGCAGTCTCTCGCGGTTTCAGGTTATTAAAACAAAATGGCGGGCTTAGGGAAAAGAATGGAAAAGAAGAAGGGGAAGGGAAAAGAACTACTCTTGCTGCTTTTACCTCCAGCCTTTCTAGACTCTCTCTCTCCAGAAAAGTTCACTGCTCTGTGTTTGCTCCTTTGAAGCTCTTTGTATTTTCCACTCTCTTACTTGAAGCTCTTTTGCTTGGAGAAGGAAATGGGAAGTTTGGAAGCTTTTTCAAAAGATGTGTTTCCACCAGAAGCCAGCGTGCCAGAGCAAATCCTGATGTGGGTATGGCCTAAAACTTCCAATGAATCAGCATTTTGGACTCTGCTTTCTTGAAAACGCGGCTCAAGCAACTACATTCTCTGTCTTGGCGAAACCCAACCTCCTTTCTATCAGAAAAGGTTGAAGAGATACCCCAAAAAACCGACCTTTTTACATTCTGGCAACCCATATTTATCTCCAACTTAAGGTTTAATCAAAAGAACGAAGAAAAAGAAGCAGAGAGGATGGGATGTGTTGCTTCTAAGCTAGGTGAAGAAGAAGAAGTAGTATCCATATGTAGGGAGAGAAAGCATCAGCTCAAGCTAGCCGTTGAGAGAAGGTATGCTCTCGCAGAAGCACATTTTAGGTACTGTCAATCTCTATACGCAGTCGCAGCTGCCATTAAGCTCTTTGTTGCTAGACACTCTTCACCTTCTTCACCTTTCCTCATAACTTTCTCTCCACCTTGCGCCTCCCTATCAACCCCAACCGAGAATGTCACCAACAACACCATGCTGCTCCAACAGAGGCCTTCTGAGTCCACCAAAGAGTCCATCCCTTGTGAGCACTGTGATTCCTCCACTCCTTCAGATGACTCTTCAGAGGAAGAAACTGAGAAGAGAGTGAGCGCAGAAGAACAAAAACCAGTCTGCGGGTACTATTATATGCAAATGCCACCACCCATGCCATCTCCTCAGAGGGATTTTGGGTGGGACTTCTTCAACCCTTTCTATGGCATGCGGCCGGACGTCATGAGTGGGTATAGGCAGAACTCTGAGGATGATCTGAGGGTTGTGAGGGAACAGGAAGGAATACCAGAGCTGGAAGAAGAGGAAGAAGAAGCTGAAGAGAATGGGGTTGAAGAAGAGAAAAAGGTGGTGGTTGTTGAAGAGAATGTTGTGAGTGGAGGGGAGGCTAAGGAAGAGAGTGATTCGGTTGAAATGGTGAAGGTGGTGGACGGTGGCGGCTGTTTGGGCCAGGGTGAGCACAAGGGCTTAACAGTGATTGACATGCCTGAGAAGGGTAGAGAGCTTTTGGAAGCATTGAAGGACATTGAAGATCATTTCATAAGGGCTTATGATTCTGGCAAGGATGTCTCTAGGATGTTGGAAGCTAACAGAGTGCATCTGCAATCTGGATTAGAGGAAATAAAAGGTGAGATTAGGGTTTTCCGGGTTGGTAGATTTTACTGCCACGTTACAATGTTAATGAATCAAATCTTACTGCAACCCCAAAGTAACTATTTTGTCTCCTACTAAATTATGAGCAGAAGGCAGCTTAAAAATCATTTCATAGATAAAGTCACCTTGTTTGCATGCATTTCAGACCAATTTCTTAGTTCATGTATAACTGGTAAGCGTTGGGGGAACTTGCTGTGTAATCCTGTCTCTGTTGTGACCTTGGGTTCTCACGTTCCTATTAACGGATTTGCTAGTTTTGCTGGTTCAGTCGTGACCTAGGTAACTCAACTTTACTTTTCCTTCTTCCTTTCAGCGATTCGGATTTCTAAACCCATCTAAAAAGTTGGCATTTTTCATCTAATCTCGAAAATCTCTATCCTAGGTCCCAAAAGGTTGTTGTTTTACTTGCCGGGATAAATCGCAAAATTGGCGCCCGACATCTTCTGGGTGTTGTGGTTTCACTTTTATTGGTGGCCCCTTTCATGTTGTTGCTGCATTCTTTCTTCTCTTCTCAATAAAGATCGTTGGTAGGGCTTATCTTGTCCCAGTAGCTAATGAGGACCACAATGCTGTCTTATAGTTTTGCCTAGGCTTTAAAATGTGCTCGCTCCGGACCAACCTGAGGAGAACTTAATTTCACTCTGGTGGATTCAACCCATTTCAATGCAAACCAGAGGGAGAGGAGAAACAATTTGGAAGTTACTTTGTCTTTGAATATATTGCAGGGGACATTGTCTTTAACATTTGTATTAAGCTCTTTGTATTTCTTTATTGTATAAGTGAATTTCTTACGATCACCATTCATGTTCTTATAGGAGCTTTGTAAATCATTTTAGTCTCGGCCTTTTCTCTCAGGTTCTCTCTTTTAAATAACCTCTTTCTTGCAAGTTCTAGAATTTCGTACCATTCACCATTCACCCTTCTTCATTTCTATTTACTATGTAAGGCAACATTTTCTTGATGAGGGATAATGACTCGTTGTTTTCTTCCTTAAGAGATAAATCAGAAGTGCCACATCTTTTGGATTTGGTGCATGGATCCGATATTCTGTATTTTGGTGATCTATTGGCGTTCTCTAACTTCTAATTCTAATGTAGAAAATTCCACAAAACTTATCCAATCGTTAACGTGGCACCGATCAACTTCATCTAAGCCTACATCATGCAAAAGTCTGGTGGCCTCAAGTTCAAAGGGATCCTCTACATGGACCTCGTATACGAATGAATTGTTTGATGACTATGGAGGGATGGTTTCAGGAAGCCATTCGCTCACGTTGGAAAGACTATATGCATGGGAGAAGAAGCTCTACGAAGAAGTTAAGGTAAAGCTGCATCTGTCAAAACTCCACGCGCTTGATTAGCTACTATGAAGGAGTTCTCCGCATTGTCATGGATGAAGTTGAGAAATAAGAACTACTCAAATCATATAATCTCACTGTATTTGATATCTTCTGGTTCCTTTTTGCTCATTAGCTACTTTTTACCTGCTTTCCTGGTTTCATACTGTGAAAGGCAAATCTCCTATGTCTTCACGTCTCACCTGAACATGGTATGCCCTTGAAAATGTCTCTTACTTCGTGTTAAAAGATGAAATCTTGACAATTGAGTTGATTTCTGTATTATCTGTATATTATGATTAGGGACTTTCATCTAGTTTACTTTCATTTATTTCGACTTGATAATTTCAATCCTATATGTCCAGGCTGGAGACAACATAAGAAAATTGTACGAGAGGAAGTGTACGCGTCTGAGAAACCAAGACGTCAGAGGAGATGATGGACTGATGATGGACAAAACCAGAGCTGCAGTGAAAGATTTATATGCTAGGATCTTGGTTGCGATTCGCAGTGCCGAGTCAATTTCTAAAAAGATTCAGAAGCTTTGCGACGACGAACTGCAGCCTCAAATTCTTGAGCTTTTGAAAGGGTAAGCGAACACCTAGGAAAAACCCTGTTTTCAAGTTCCAAAAGTGTACATCTTTTCGTGTTGGCTCTGATTCTCGTCAATGGACATCTGTCACATGAATTTAATTAAGTCTATTTTCAGAACTTCATGGTCTCGCTCCTTGATTTGTCATTCTGTTCCCATCGTGCAGCCTTACTCAAACCTGGAAAATTATGCTGGAGTCTCACGAGACCCAGAATAAGATTCTTCTCGAAGTCGGTAACTTTGCTTGCCCCACGTATGGAAAGTTCTGCAATGACTCCCACCGGCTCGCGACGCTCCAGCTCGAAGCTGAGCTCCAGAACTGGCGTTCATCCTTCACCGACTACATCACATCACAAAAGGCATATGTCGAAGCGCTTCATGGTTGGCTTGCCAAGTTCCTAGCGCCCGAAGTCGAATTTTGCTCCAACGGCAGGAGTTCTTCCGCGCCTTACCGTGTCAATGGTCCCCTGTTGTTACCGATCTGCCACGACTGGTCGGCCTCTCTGGATAAGTTGCCGGATAAGGCTGTGGTGTTTGCATTGAAAAGCTTTGCAAAGGACGTGAGAGCTCTTTGGGCCCAACAAGGGGAGGAGCAGCGCCAGAAGAGGAAAGTGGATGCGCTGGCAAAGGAAGTCGAGAGGAGGACAATGTCGCCATCATTCCACAAGGCGGAGACCCGGTTTCTAGAGTTCAGGCCGAGCGAGGACAAAACTGAGCTCGAAATCGACCATCCCGAGCTCGCGACAGACAAGGGGGACTACTTGGACACGTTGAGGAGGAAGTTGGAAGCGGAGAAGGAGAGGCATCATAATTGCATGCAAGAAACGCAGAGGATCACTCTGAACGGGTTTCAGACCGGGCTCTCGGTGATCTTCAAGTCCCTGACGGAGTTCTCCGAGGCTTCTCAGAAATTGTACAATGATCTTGTTTCTTACCGCGAGAGCGCAGAGAAAGCCGAAAGCATAACATGTCTAGAAGGCTCCCAAGCAGAGAAAGCCGAAAGCGTAACACGTCTAGAAGGCTCCCAAGCCGGAGGAGACGGCGAAAGGAGATAATGGTTGGACTTAATAGTGACGATCGGAGGTCTAAGCTTATCGTGGTTGTGGCTGTATATTACCGGGTCGAGTCGAAGCGCCTTGCTGAGACTTGATTTGTGTGCTTGTTTTCTCTCTCTTTTTACTTGGTAGGTCTTGGTTAAGGACGGTTATTAAGATGTCCTTGGTGGTCCCTTATGGCCACCCCTTCGTTAATTGTTTATTGGCAAATACGTGTTAGGAGAGTTTTGCCTGCTCTCTGGCATTGTTACATGCAAATATATCTGAGCTAAGTTGGGCTATTGTTTGTTGATGGTCAAACTGAAAATCTACTGATGGAGCTCCCTCAAGAAGATGAAGTGTTATTTCTATAGAGATGTTTCTTCTCTCTCTCTCACATTAGTTCCTCCAATTTTTTTGTAGGGGTGAGCGGTTTTAGATTCCGCATGGATCCTGGAACGTACCTATTAGAATAGGTTATTCATTTTTTGGAACCTGTAACCTATCTTGTCACAGGTTTTAAAGTCGGTTCCAAAATTTATCCAGGTTCTACCTGTATTATCAATTGAAATATTGCAGTGAATTACTTTTTATCATCACCACTTGATGCTATAATGCAGCAACCACAACTTATATTTAGACATGAAAAATATGAAACATTAATATAGTAAAAGTGTCGGTCATAAAACGGAAACTCAGACTAGTGGTTTTAAATTATACACTCATCATCAGACGTCATGGAATATACAAGATTGCGAAGACATGAACCAAGAAAAACACAAAAACTTGTTCTACATGGAACCTACTCGTCAAAACATATCTTCCAATTTTTGGAACCTGAAAGCCGTCATGCATACCGAAAATCTTAAACTGGACAGGCTCTCACCGGTCCGGTTTTCTGATTCCAGGGTAGACCATGCTCACCCCTAATTTTTTAGGTAAAGTAGTTTGCGGGACTTGGGCTTATTTGGACTCGTCGCCGGCCCGAGCCAGCCATTGTATGAGTGAGATTTGGAAAAAAGAAAAGGTGGGTTGCTTTTCGGACCTAAGAAGGAAAACCTGCAAGCCCGACCCCTCCATTGGCATTTCCGGCTTGGGCGGGCTGGATGCGGTGTAATGGGCGGCTAGGCCCGCCCAAGATCAAGTTTAGGCCACCAATAAGAAAAATCTGGCGCGCTTGGTCTGCCGGTTGCCACCTCCGCCAATCAACCGACCTCAACCGTTTTCCAATTACCAGGAAAGAGAGAGAGAGAGAGTGAGTGAGCGTGTGTGTGTGAAGTGAAAACAGTTGAACCATGTTATCTTCCCCTTGGAGTTGGAGGCAGAGTCCCACACTCTCACCTTCTTCTCCATTTAATCTCTCCAAAAGACCGAATCGGAACAGAGCCGGTTCGTCTTTTGTTGCCCATGGTACCACAGAGAGCAACGACAATGGCGAGGACGGGAAGAAAAGGAATAAGAAGGTGGTGATCGTTGGCTCCGGTTGGGCCGGCCTCGGTGCGGCGCACCATCTCTGCAAGCAGGTCCTCCTTCATCTTATACTTTCTTTCGGTCGTTGAATTGAATGTGTGACTGGGTTTAGATTGTGTTCAGTTGGTGATTGCGCGGAATTTTTTAGGTTTGAATTCGAATGGAGTGCCTTCTGCGTGTTTTTTTCCCTCCTTCTTTTTCAGGGTTTTGATGTGACAGTTCTTGAAGATGCGGATGGTTATGGCAGTCCCGTCGAGATCGGTATTCAGGGTACTTGAAGTCACTCTTTCGTGTGAAGAGAATTTAGTTGGTTCTTCGTCTGGGTTGTTGGTAATTATGTTGATAGCTTATGCTAATCTCGTAGATGCTAATGTAGGACCGGGTTGGACTGGCTAGTCAAATTAGATTGGTTGTGAGATTTGGTTTAAGACGTTTTTTTTTATATGTTTGTACAATTGTATAAACTCATTTGCTAAATGAGAGAAGGAAACTCATTTGGATATTAATATATGAATTGCATATTCAGGCACGCTGTTTACGTTTATTGTTGTTGTTCATATAAGTGAATGATTATATGGTTAGTGGATACTGTCAGTTCAAGAGATAATTCTGCTAAAGGCAGAGATGTCATGTGGGCGTCCATGTCTCCCCATTACTTGTGAGTATTCACTAAGGATGATCAAGAATTGATAAGCACCAACTTGTCCTATCCATGGTTGGGCCAGCAAAATGGCCTTTCGAATTGCATCATATGCAGAGGTGTCTCCCTCAACTTAGTAGTTGAAAAAGAAAATAAACAGAGTTCTTTGAACATGCAGGCTTTTGGAACCCTTACCAGAACATCTTCAGCCTCGTCGATGAGCTCGGGATCAAGCCCTTTACAAATTCGATGAAGTCTGCTCTCTATTCACGTGAGGGGCTAGAGGTACTTGACATAAAAAAGAAAAAATACGTTTTGTATGTTTTGGATGGTGAAGTTCCTGCAAATCTTATGCTATTGAATGGAGCCATTCAAATTTACATGTGGCACTGGCTTCTCTGCTGTTAAATTTTGGTGGTCCTTAAGTGGGTATGACAAGTGCATATGTCTTGCATATCTGGAGACCCTTAGTTTTAGGTTTCTCAATGTAAAATTTATACTCATGCAGGTTGAGTTTCCGATATACCAAGATCTGCCTCAGTTGCCTTCTCCCTTGGGAGCCTTAGTTCATACTCAAGTACGCATCATGATGAAGCTATGTGACACTGTTTCCTAATATAATATATATTAAAGCTTGACCAAACAGATGACTCTGCTGATGTTAAATCATTCTTTGTGACACGCAGTTTCTTCGACTGGACTTGGTGGATAGACTGACGTCAGTTTCTCTAATGGCTGCAGGCATGTTAAGGCTTCTCAGTCAAGTATTTGAGTAAATGAAGCATATAGCATGGCATATGTGAACAAATTAATGAAGAAACAACTTGATTTGATTGACCTATTGTAATGTCCTCTTCTATGAATAATGAAAAAAGTAAATGGAGCATGCGATACGCTGCTAAGTCTCATGCATTTAATTTACAGCGTGCGTTGGCTAATAACATTATGTTTACTCTGTGGACTGCATAATTTCATCGGTTTGGGTTGTGAAGAACTTTCCAGCTAGTTATCGTGGGACATAAGTGTATTTGTAGTATTTGCAGATAGATCTCCCTTGACTTCTACCCCTCTCCCCACCCCCAACCTACAAGTTAGCACCAAACAAAGATCCAACAGCTAATGTGTGCCTAATGCTTGCAGTGGTGGACTTTGACAATACTGATACTGCCTGGAGAAAGTATGATCCAAGTAAAGATCCAACCACATTTGTTAAACGAAAATCTGTCTATGGATGAACTTCATCACTAGCCAAAGTTCATCAGACAAATTCTTATGATATATTCAACTGGTAGTTACTGCCAGGGAGCTCTTCAGACAGTTTGGCTGCTCAGAAAAGCTTTATCAGAATGTATTTCGTCCAATGCTTCAAGTGGGTCTCTTTGTGCCCCCGGAGCAGTGCAGTGCCGCTGCAACTCTGGCAATGCTTTATTACCTCATCCTTGCTCACCAGGTCTTTTGGCTCTCTTCTCTAGACCTCATCTGTAATACGTGCACTTGATCAAGGGCAGTTCAATATGATTATCTGGAAGCAAGGGAAATACGAGATATCTCCTATTATGTGAAGTTACTGGAAAAAGAAGAAGAAGCTATTTGTCAGCCATCTTGGCCTATTGATTGTGCAGCATTGGTGTAATTATTATCAAGATGGATGATGTGGTCCTTTAACCGGGCTTTTACATAGTGTCTAAGTGCACCAGGCCGTTCTGACGGACAATTGCATTCATGTTTATGTTTTGGGCACATCAAAGGGTAAATCTCTCCTTTTGTTTTGGATGCAGAAAGATTTTGATGCTGTGTGGTGTCAGGGGACAGTCAAAGAAAAGATCTTCAAGCCGTGGAAGGATTTCATGAGGACTCAAGGTTGTGTGTTTTTGGAGGGTCGAAGGGTGACAGACTTATTGTTCGATGAGGTGACAGGCTGCATATCAGGAATAGCTTGTGGGGGAGAGACCCTTAATGCAGATGCATTCATCCTAGCCGTCAGAATCTCCACGCTTCAGGAGATTATTAAGAACAGGTGATTCTTGTTCTCTCTTCAAATATTTGGTAGTCAAATCAATTAATTATCTGAACTTTTAGCATATATTGCTCCTTTTCTCATTCAATCTGCAATTTTTTGCTGTTTGTGTCATTTCGTTAGCATTAATAAGCTGACCCTGTTAATATTACTCAACTCTTCACTCTTACAGATGAGCGAAAGTTTCTATGTCGTAGAACTAGTCAAACATGTTTTGCTTTGTAAAACTCGGTTCTCTTTGTTTTCAAAATCAATGCTACTTGAGATAATGCGTATTCTTTCACTATTATAAATTAAAGTAAGTCTATTCATGTTGGATCTCTGATTTTAGCATTATATTCTTCTGTGATTTTTTTTAACTTCATGTCGAGTTCTGTGTAGCTCAGTATTATGCACAAGGAATGAGTTTCTGAGAGTCATGAACTTGGCCGGTGTTGATGCACTCAGTGTTAAGCTTCGACTTGATGGGAAAGTAAGTGCTAACAGATTTCTTCGTTGTAAAATCTCCAGCTTTCTGCTAACATTTCTGATTTATATTAAAAGTTACCCAATAAAGGGGAGGAAACATGGACAGTTAATCAGTGAATTAGGGAATTTTGTCCACCCTCGGCATCGCATTCTGCCTTTGATATTAAGACAAGTAGAGTCCTCACATGATTAACAAAGGTCTCCAAGTGTGATGATTTCTTGTTTTTGCTAAATAGGGGCATGTTATGAAGTATACTAAAACTCTTGAATGCATAGTAATTACTCGAACTAAGCTGTCTTGGTCAAGATTATGCTCATTCTCTTCGGGCTGTCTTGGAAAGCTGTTGATATTTTGTTCCTCCCTTGTAAGGTGCTAAATGCCCTTACTAATGACAACTAATGAGATGTTATCTAAATTGACAAATATCAGGTTACCATTCCCAATGCTATCAATGTTTGCTCTGGGGATGACAACTGCTTTGGATGGACCTTCTTCGACTTGAATGTACTCCATGATGAGCATAAAGGCGACCCTATGCAAGTCATACAATCTGATTTCGTGAGTATTAACGCATCTTTATTTGTTTTGGTGGGACAAGTTTTGTGAAAGTAATTATTGATGAAAAGCTAAACTTTCCCTGGTTTATGCAGTATTACGCTAATGAACTGCTGGTACTCGAGGATGAGCATTTAGTTGGAAAAACTATGTCGTACCTTGCAGATGTTGTGAAGGATTTTGGGAATTCTACTGTGGTGGATAGGGAAATTAGTAGATTTCCAAAGTCCTTAACTCATTTCTTCCCAGGTAACTCTTTAAAAGCTTTATGCCATTGGTTTCCAAATGAAGCTGATGCTAGCACATTTCTCGTGGTAGATCTCACGGTTCAGATGGCAAGAGCATTCAACAGATGGCTTGCACCATCAGAAGACAAGAAATTATCTGAAATCTCTTCTGCATTTAATGAACTTAAGAAGATGCTTTTTGCTAGATCTTTTATTTTTTGGTAACTGGGACGTTTGAAGTGAAGATGGATGCCTCTTTTATTCATGATGAATTAAGGTTTCTTCTTTTCATCTTCCTTGTATGATAGGTTCCTATGATTACATGATGCGCGGCTCTACATCTTTCCCAAACTTGTTTATGGCGGGAGACTGGATTATCAACCGTCATGGTTCATGGTCACAGGTATTTGATCCGCCACTGTTTTGTACCTTCCGATTTGAGATTCAACAGCAGATGGTAACGACGACAAGCACATCATGGTTGTAAACAGGAGAAGTCATACGTCACGGGGCTCGAAGCCGCCAACTGCGTAGTGGACCATCTCGAATATGGAGACTTCGCTAAAATCATACCCGTGGAGGAAGATGAACAGCACATCCAAGCACTTCGCGGCCTCATCCGAAGCTTCGACGAGATCAGAGCTCAACTCCCGCTGCCCAGTAACTTCCTCTGGTGAAGGAATTTTGTTCACTTCATCGAAATGCTTGACTCACCGTTACATTTCGAACCAATGATTAAGTTTTGAGATTGCAGTCATGCTTGTCTCTTTGAATCCGATAGATCACAAGTAAGTCTGATACATTTTCTTTACGGTGTACTGCTACTGATAAACTTGTTGAGTGAGAATAAAGATTTGGTGTGTCCTATATACAACCCCAATGACAGCTAGAAAGAATGGCCCTTTTTAGCAACAAGACCATCTGATGTGGGTGCGTACGAAGAGTTGACAATCGCCTTAGCAAAGTTTTCACTCAATAATTGAGATATTTTGTAATGTTATGCGGTCGTCAAGGCCCGCTCTATTCCCACCTTCTAAATGGCTATAACACTCCCTAGTTTATTGAGTTGACAAAAGCAACCTCAAGCAAGCTAATCAACCAAAATAACAAATGAAAAGTATGAAACCCGCTATTTATTGAAAATGCAAAAACTGCACATCGTTTTGAAGATACGACATTGTCCGAATTAATAAAAACAATAATATTTTAGTCTACCATCTTGCGTTACTTACCGTTCATTTTTACACAAACTTCTTTTCCTCTCTTCTAATTACTAATGTACTCAAACTTGAACATTGTCTCGGTCACTTGCTCATGCACCTTGCATGAACCCTGCTCAGATATATATCTTTTCTCAAATGCTTAATCGAGTAATATTGTACTACTCTCTAAGGGGTATTTATGAGTCAGCGATGAGGAGGACACTCCTTCAGTCGAGCGGGGACCATTCGGTCTTGGTCAGCGCCACGGTGGCAGTGAGCCAGAACGGGACCGAGAACTTCACATCTATCAACACGAAGTCGTGTCGGATCCGAACAATACCGATTGTACAAATGAGAACTCGTTAATACATGTGACTGCCGGTATTTACGAAAAGTATGTGTTCATTGCTAAGAAGAAGAAGTATCTTGTGATGATAGGAGACGGCATCAACTAGACGGTGATCACCGGCAATCGGAGAGTGGCTGATGGGTGGACCACGGTCACTTGCGCAACATTCGATAAGATTGCTCTTTGCATATGGATTCGCAACCTTAGCGTTATGTATCTCATTTATTTGTATTTAATCAATTGGATGTCGTGATCAATCTTTGTACTTAATTATATATAACAAAAATAGATTCAAACTTTCGTAACAACTTACTCGGTTCTTATTTTGATAGAGAGTTCTACTAGGACATCATTAGTATAACCACTAAGGATAGCATTATTTTTTGTCAAATGTCAATTACAAGTAACCTTTTTATTGTACAATTTACCTTATAACATGCAATGGCATTTCAATATGCTAGAGCTTATTTAAGGCACATAAAACAAAACAAAAATTCAAGAGCTTATTATCATAAATTCTGTAAAATTTCTTTGATCGTCCCTGTTTGGACTCTTTTATAAGAATGGAGATAGATCTAATGAATTCATTATAGCTATAGGAGCCGTGGTGGCACCAAATTTCGTGGCGATAAACATAACCTTCTTGGGCACGGCCGGGCCACAAAAGCACTTGGCTATGGTCGTTTGAAATGGAGTTGAGCTGTCGGTGTTCTACAGCTGCAGCTTCGAGACGTACCAAGACGCTCTGTTCATGGACTTTCTCATGCAGTGCTATCGGGAGTGCGGTGTCTACGACACGAACCGGGTCAAGCTTCTTGCTTGGGGACGACTGGTTGCCTCGGAGCATGTCTCGCACGAGTGGGTTAATAACCGTGCAGCTCCAAAATGGAGATTGAACTGAATTTGTTTTATTTTGACCAATGATATGACATGTCTCGATGGCCTCCATTTGAACGCCTCCCGCATGGAGGATGAAATTTACGAGGCGTTTTTAAACAAACAAAACCCATTTGAGTACATTAAAAAAACGACACATTTCACGACCGTTACATGAGGGCCTTGCACAAACCTTGCACAGATATATGTTTTCTCAAATGCCTAATTGAGTAATGTTGGAACTAATCCTCTATTATGCTACTCTTCTTAGATTTGTAGACATGAGATATTCTTGATAAGTATGGTTTTTTTTTTCCTTTGGTCGAAGATAAGTATGGTTTAACTAGGCTTATTTATCACTTTTGTGTCTATTTATTTATTCACCAAATATTTAAAAAAAATGGATAAAAAAGTTAATTTTTCATCAGACATGACTTAACCAATGTAAGGAAGGTAATTTATTGTTTTAATCTATAATAGATTGCTACCCAACCAAAGTGGTCGGGCGTCTTTACCCTGGTTTAATCGTATAATTTGTATCCGATCATTCTAATGCCCCACTTGGTTACAAGCCCACGTTATCAAGTTCGGCGCTCATGACTCATAAGAATAGCTTTACAAAGACGAAAGCTCGCAGGTGTTTATTCCGTGGCCTTCTTTTGCCAATCATCCAGAATGCGTTTCCAGTTTGCTTGAGTCGACTCTCAGTTCAATTTGTTTGAGAGACGAGCCAAAGTTCAATTCTTTTTCTAAGTATCATTCCACAGACGGTGAATTTTCCTCTCTACTCGCTCAGAGTCCCTCTCGGATAGCTACAAGTTCCACTTTAGACCGAATCACTATCCACTTCCACCAATTTGTGATGCCATGGAGGTGACTGTAGTAGGACAGAGGCAAAAATCACCCTGCACCCAAACCATATCTCTCGCGAACATGTTGAGGAAACGCAGCATTTAACTGCATAGAAACGTACCATTTGACTATATAGACCGCGATATTTGACATATGTACAACCGGCAGTTCTCGTAAGACTGGCAGCAACAGAAACAAACTTCAATGATCACTTTGGGGGGGAAGCAACTATGATGCTGTGAGAAGACTGACTTGGGTTCATAACTACAGTCAACTTGAATTTTGCAAGACGGACGTAGGAAGCTGGCCATCTATGGGTGGTCATTGCACTGGTGATAAGCAGGTCCGCAATCCTGCAGATTGGGGCTCATTGAGAACCGGAACCATCTCCTTTTCTCTGCGTACCTAAGGCAAGGCTCCAGAACAAGCCCGATCATCACCGCCACAAGGCTGATACCCATGACCTTGCTTGGTGCGAGAGCCATGACCACGAGGAGAAGAGCGGTTGGGGGTATGCACATGAGAATCGACCCGACTGTCCCGACTGGGATCCTGTAAGGCCTAGAAGCCGCTGGGTGCTTCACCCTCAACTTCACAAAGGCCACGAACTCCATGATCATCCCAAAGCAGTACAGGAAATTCTCTGCAGCCACGATCTCCTGGAAGCTCAGCCACGAGAGCATGACGACACCCGATGCCGAGAACAATATCCCGGTGAGTGGAGTCCCATAGCAGGATCGCTTGGCGAAGAGCTCAGGAAGCATCCCACGCTCCGCCATGCCGAGCAGTTGGAATGAGTCGCTGCTCATCTCGGCCAGGAACATCCCCATGTTGGAGAGAGCGGAAGCAGCTTGGACCCAACTCCGCAGCCAGACACCTCCAAGGATCTTGGCAATGTCCGAGAAATACCCGTCAGACCACAGCTCGCGCTCAACTGGGATGGCTCCAATCCCAATCAGGAGAGGGACGAAGTACCCGAGAACGACCAAGATGAGAGCGTAAAACAAAGCTCTCGGGAGGGTTTTGCTCGGGTTATCTACTTCGCCGGTGAGAGTACTGATGGAGTCCCAATAATTGAGGTTCCAAAAGAGAGTGTTTAAGTACAACCCCCAATTGACATTGCCAAGATCTACCATCAACCACCTCGAAGGTTTCAGATCGGGAATGGCCACTAGTCCCATGACCACAAAAGGAAGAAGGGATATCACTCCCAACAGTATAGCAACCCAACCCACTATTGTCAAACCCCTGTAATTCATATAAGTCAGCGCAAGGGTCAGTACAAGCACAGCTATAGTTCTAGGTAAACCGCCTTCGAGAGCTGGGACTGCCGATTTAAGATAGTCCAAGAAGAGAACCGGGTACAATGCATTGTCAATAACGCCACTAAGCCATTTCATCCAGCCCTGTTGGAAGCCCCAATAAGGCCCCAAAGCTGATGAAACCCAAACTACATAGCCTCCATTTTCGGGAAACATCGTGCCCATCTCTGCAGTTATCAGAGCCTCAGGGATGCTCCATATAAGTGGGAATATCAAGAAACCGAGGAGGGCTAAAAAGGGACCTGCTGCTTTCACACTGTCCTCCACACCAAATGGACCCCCAGAGACTTCATAGAAGATAAGGAAAACAAGAGGTATGATTGAAACCTTTTGGAACGTCTCCAGCTTCGGGGACGATTCGCCCCCCAATCCTGTGTAGTCCGAGGCGCCGTCGTGTCCCGGCATTGGAGAAGTTTGCTTTGTAGTTGGAATTCTCTGTTTCTGCAAGCAAGATCAACGAATATTGGATGTCTTAAAATAAGGTGGGCTGAGTTGATTCCATCAATGAAGGGAAAAAAGCACGCCTTGCAGTACATATCTAGCATCGCTATCCACACATTTGCTCTTCGTATTAAAAAATCATACATAAATCAAGGACGCGATCAAGCTGCTTCTCAATACAGATAGATATGCTATGCTAATATACTGCCGTACACTACTAAGCTCCTCCTTTTCTTACTTTCTTCAACTATGATCTGGTTCACATTTATGCAAATATTGAGTAATGCTTACTCATTGAAACAACACAACTAGCGAAGAGAATGCAGCCAAGAAGAGTGCATTTTATCAACTAAAGAAATAAACCCCTTTTCTCCTTTCGGGCCAAAAAGAAAGAAACCCATTCGGCGCACAAAATTGAGCACCTGAATCTTCTCCGTGTGCACAAAAAAGAGAGTAATTTTAAAGGCAAACTCTGAAAATCAGAAGAGAAGGGCTTTCCTTTTTGTGCCCCTATTTAGCAATCACCATACACAAAGGACCGAACCAGATACCAGAGAACAACCACCTCTCGCGATTTGTGTTGCCAGCACAACCAGATCTCAGGAGGCGACCACAAGCGATTAAACCGAACGAGAAGATAAGAATGCGGATAACGACCCCGAACATTACTGACCATTAAAGGAGGAGGAGGAGGAGGAGAGAGAGCGCGAGTGTTGCAGCGGCACTACAGCACCAGCAGAGAAGAAAGCGGTGACGGTGAACAACCAAACAACATGTGTACTTAAAACCATGCGAGAGAAACCGAATCCGAGAGATCCCGAAACGTGCGCCCCGGGGGACAGAGCCCTCCGTCACGTGCCCAAATCCCCCGTACGCCCCGAACCCCATCGCGCGAAGCGACAGGCAACAAGCACGACCACATTCAAGTAGAGCTTTTGAGGGGAAGAGAAAGAGAAAGGAAAGGCCGAGGGCCAGGTCGGAGAAGAAGGAACAATAGTGTCGCTGACCATATTTCAAGTTTTTTTACGAGGAGGTTTCGACTTGTGAGTATCAATCCAGCCTAGTTCGCGTCCTTTTTCTCCCTCATTTCGCTCTAATCTGTCGTCCAAAGTCTAATTCCTTTTCTTTCTTTTTCATTTCGGTCTACCCCCCCAATGACTCAGCGACGCGCGTGCAACCACACACACACACCCTCTCTCTCTCTCTCTTCCCCTGCTGTATTACCCAGTTCAGTTCACCTTCTATTACCTTCATTCCCACCGAGCGAGAGAGAGAGAGAGAGAGAGAGAGAGAGAGAGAGAGATTATACTTACAGCAGCCTCTCTAAGATCAACTCCTGTAAGAAAGCGCCCACATAGACACTCTGTCTCTGTCTTTCTCTCTCTCTCTCATCATGTCATCATCATCCCCAGCCAAATGAAAAAACGTTTTTTTATGCCATCTCCTCCTTCTAGTTTCCTCTCACTTACTCACCACTGCTGACCCATCATCCTCCTCCTCCTCCTACTTTCGTCTCCCCGTAATCACAATCTTTAATTGCTCCCTCTCTCTCCCTCTCCCTGTCCGCGAAGATTCACCAAAATCTGCCCAATTAGGAAGCAATCAATCCCATTCCCGTTCAAATCCTTCTTCGCAACTGAGCTTTTAATCCCAATGGATCCTCCTCCCATAACTACCAAGACCCACCAGTCCTCCGCCCTCGATCACGCCTTCCTCCACCACAACGGCTTCGCCTCCGCCGCCGCCGCCCCCGCCCAGCTCGAAGTCTCCGACATCGAGATGATCGCCTTCCAGTCCGTGGCGTACACCAGCCTCCGCGACCTCCTCCCCTTGTCCCCGCCCCCGCCGTCGGCCGCCTCCCCGACCAACAACTCCAGCTGGTACGAGATCCCCATCAAGAACCCCCTCGTCAAGCACGCCGCCCTCGCCTACCTCCAGCCCATGTCGTCGCCGCCGGAGGTCGGGGACAAGGGCCTCCTCGGCAGGCTGCAGGACAGCTGCGGGTGCTTCTGCTGGCTCGGCGACATCCTGTCCCGGGTCCTGAGGGAGGTCTTCGGGAGCTTCCTCTGCGACGACTACGACAGAGGGTGGTTCGAGTACGTCGACGACGACGAGGAAGACGAAGATACAGAGAAAATTGACTGAGCAAGCTTCCGCCTTTCCCTTTCTTTTTTCTTCTTTTTTTCTTTTTTTGCGCTCAGGAGGGAGTTTCCATAGGTTTGACTGGTAGATGAGATGGAATTTGTACAGCAATAGTGACTGCAGATTTTGCTTTCGGTGGATTCTTTTGTAAGTAATAAAGAAGTACCATACGGAAAATTGATAAATTTGTTCCCACTCGGGTGGGCTCTGTTGGGCTGCTTCTGTTCGTCTGCTTCCGGGCGCCATTGTTGGCGAGCTCGTGAGCTGTAAAGCAATCCACGCCATTGTCGCCGCTCGGCGATTAAAATACATTCCGGGTCAGTTTCTTGAGGGAAGGAGACTCGGGTTTCGATTGAATCTTTAGTTTTTATATCACCTCAAACGATACCTCACATCGTACGTACAGGTGTTTCATGCCTGAAACCGATTCATAGATTTGGTTCCCACGTCATCCCGCGCTCTGTTGGTCCGTCTGTCCGAATTCTTAATTGTATTTGCCCCCTCCTAGAAAAATCACAGCAAAGGACTCCTCGTCTTCTGTTCTTTTGAGCGGCAGAAGGCCGACGCCCGTAAGAGCATATCTGGCCAGCAGGAGGATGGCGTCAAGGAAAAGAGTAAAAAAATACGTAACTTTTTGTGTTTTTTTTGACGGGGACGGTCGGTCAACACGGTTGACTTCCATCCGAGCGCCCTGAACTTCTGGTGAAGGTGAAGGGGGCTCGTTGAACGGGAGAGCGCGAATCGAATGCTCCCACGCGCGCCCGAGGGAGCGTGCGCTTGCGGAGTTTCTCCTCCACTTTTACTTCGCGACGATGAGAAAAGGCTGATCGTCATGCGCGGCCGCAGCTGATCCATATCTCTCAATCGCAGAATCACGTGCAGACCAACTTGTTCTTTAGAGCTCAATCACTTGTCTGTTCTGTCAACTCCCTCTGTAACCCTCTCTACCAGTGGAGGATTCTTGAGAGAGAGTAGAAATGGGGGAGTTCCATGTTCACACCAGGCAAGGCCCGTTCCTAAGGTGGAGTCGCGCGAGACTTGGGGTGCGCATGAATACCATTCTGTGCCCGGGAACTATTTCTAAACAGAAATGATTTTTTTTTATTCTGTGCCCGGAAATAATTTCTGAGTATTTGAAGGCGTTTGATAATCTGTCCAAAATTTCTATTCCTAGAGTAGAAAAAAACAGAAATGCGTTTGATAACTACACAAAATTTCTGTTCCCAAATAATATTTTAATAATATTTTGAATTGTTAAATTTTTTTTTTCTTTCTACCATTTTCTTCTTTGGCCATGGCCGGTCGCCGGCGACCGGCCACAGCCCAGGGCCGACGAGGACGTCACGGCCCTCGCCGGCCGCAGGTGGAGGCGAGGGTCGCCCTCGCCGGCGAGGGCGAGGGCTGGACCCTCGCCGCCCTGGGCGAGGCGGCCTCGCCCAGATCTGGCGAGGCCGAGCCTCGCCGTCTCTGGGCGAGGCCGACCTCGCCGTCGCGACCGACGGCGAGGCTCGACCTCGCCCTCGCCGGCCCAGCCCAGGGAAGAATAACACAAAAAAAAAAATAAAAAAAAAAAAGAAAAAAAACTGATTCTCAAAATTGTCTTGTAAAAAGAAGAACTTTTTTACTTCTTGTTTCTCTTCCAAAACTGTTTCTCGGCACAAATTTGTGCAAAAATGTGCCCGGGAATAAAAAGTTTATCAAACGCATTTCTATTCCCAAACTATTTCTGGGAACAAAAGAACGGAAATTTTCACTGTTTGGCACGTTGCCAAACGGGCCCTTGATTGCCCAGATCGAGGAATCTGTCGCTGTCCCCATTGACAAACTACACGGGGCTGGCTCGAGTGTCGGCTGACACTATGGTAATTTGGACGATGGGACGGACAGAGACAGCCATGTTCGAAAGGAATCGAGAGCATAAGGAAAGGGAAAAGGTTTGCGAGGCTTGCGAGATTTGCTCGATGCTCCATGGTCCTGGCGGGCACGTGGATAGTCTTAGGATGGTGATGCAAGGCCCGAAACCAAGTGTGGTTGGTTTGACTATTGGGTTTGTTCATCTTTTAAAGCGAGAAACGGACCAAGGCCAAGGCCCGTTTGCCTATTGAGCACATAGTCCTTAAATTTTGACTCAATATATAATGTTGATTTTAAATTTTTAATTTGTTCGGTATAATCCCGAATTATTGAAAAATATTCAATCTAGTCCGTCCGTTTGCTCAAACGACAAATCAGACCTTGTTTGTTAACATGGATTATTACATGCCGAATTAGATTTTAAAAATGATAGCAAACGCGTCCATCTTTTTATTCATCTAATTTTGAAAATGAAAAGAAAACTTATGGTGTTAAATTGTCCGTCATTATTTGATGACGTGGATTGCTATATTATGATTTAAGATGAATATCTTATTGATAAACCATTTATAACCTTTTTTTTATCATCATCCACCGTTCAAACTTGACGGATTATAGTGTTAACCTAAGGCTCCGTTCGTTTCACGAAAAATAACTTTCGAAAAAATATTTTTCGGGTTTTCCGGTGTTCGTTTCACGGAAAATAACTTCCCACGGAATATATTTTCCCCCCATGGGCAAAACACCTTCACTTATGAGGAAAATGACTTCCTCTTTTTTAGAAGAGGAAAACATTTCCCCCCCCCCCCTTCTTTCACCATTCATTTTATTCTTTTTCTTTTTTTCTTCCTTCTTCTTCTTCTTCCTCAGCCAGTTGTCGGCCACGGTGGCGGCCGACGACTGGCCAGGTCGAGCCTTGCCACAGGCCGGCGAGGCTCTGGCTCACCTAATTCGACGCGGCTGAGCTAGCCCAAGGCCGGTAGGGTGAGCTCGGGCCTCACCAGATCCGGCGAACTCTCTTGATCCGGCATGGTTGAGCTCACCCAAGGCCGGTCGGGAGAGCAGGAGCCTCGTCGGCCTGTGGCGAGGCTCGACTGGCTGAGGAAGAAGAAGAAGAAGGAAAAAAAAGAAAAAGAAAATTAAAATATTTTAAAAAATAAAAATAAAAAATTATTAAAAGTAGTGCAAGGAAGAAAACATTTTCCATACTGAACAACGGAAAATATTTTCCGAAACTTTTTCAGATTTCAGCCGAACATCGGAAAATTGTGTCATTTTCCAAGAAAATGATTTCCTGGAAACTATTTTCCAAAAACGCAATATTTTCGGCGAAACGAACGGAACCTAAATTAATGAAAGATGATATTAAAAATTTTCATATGATTTACGGATTATATCAAATATTTATTAATAGTTCACATAGCACATTAAACAAAATAAAAGTTCATGGACGACATTGCATATTCGATTAAAGTTGAGGGACGAATTGTGTCATTTTCCCCACGATATAAGAGGCTCATCTACATATTCTTCTCTATTTAAAGTGTGAGTGAACCGAGATAGGGCTACCTAGTACAAGGGCGAGGACAACGGACTACCATTCGAAACAAATCGTCGCATTGGTCGAGGAGAAAGAATTTCGGTGACATCATTTCATCAGGCCGTCGACCCTTATCGATGATAATCTCAATAATCCAGTTAGACGGACTCAATGTGACTCGGCCTAGCTAGTTTATCAGGAAAATCTACATAAAATGACGCTACATGGTGATGTTGTACGTCCACTAAATTATTAGGCGTAAGTTTTCCTTCATTCACACGATACGCGCATCTGCTTCTGCTTCGACAGACAGATCATAGAAGCCCCACATCTCTCCCAAGTACGTCAATGTGTCCAAGTTTTCAATGCTGAGCTGTTCCGCATGGCCGGTTGATAATCATGTCTAATCGGAAGACTAGAAAAGCATAATGGGTCGACGAAGAAGAAAAGGTAATTAACTTTGAATATGCATGCATATAAGATTATCAGGAACGAAAGTATGTAAAGGAAAGTAAGGTCATCGCTCATCGGTAACAAAGCAAGACATCACGAAGTGTTTGATCGCTTCTCGCCTCGACTCCCAAAGCTGCACATTACACAAAAGAAACTGCCAAAAAGGAGGAAAGTGGCAAAAGTTTGATCCTCCTGGCATTGATTTGTCAGTTCAAACTTGGAAAGTATGCTGTGAGTGTTTAGGGTTGCAAGACTTGCAATTCTTCGGGGATGCTCTGCAGTGCAGGCCGCCAGGACGGCCTCTGACGACCATCCTTCGCAAACTTCCTCCTCCACAAGAGATGTAGTCTCTGCTCGCCGGACAATGGCTGCCCGGACGTTGCCGTCTGGTGCACGCTTTTCTTCCTCCCGCCTGTTATCGCTTCCAACATTTGCTTCAGCTCCTGCTTCCTCACCACCAGCTTCATCCTCACCGCCCCGTCCTCTCTCACCTGCGACACGGGGACGTCTAGGCCTCCCGCTCTCACCCTCGCAATCGCTTCGGCCACGTTGTTGTTGCTCCGCACAGACGTCGTCTTCGGGCCACGATGCTTCGAATGGCGAGCGTCTCTCTTTCCTTCTGCTAATGGCTTCAACTCCATTGTCCTCCTCTCTTTCGCTTCGTCACCTTTGTCTCCGATCAGTGTCTTGTTTTTTTGTTTCTTGTTTTTTTCTCTGTTTGATCTCAAATAAGTTCCGTACTCGAGGCTTTATATAGAAATGGGCACCGAATCTTCATGTGAAATACAAGTAATGTACATAAGTCGGTTGATTAAGAAACGGGATATCTTATAAACTATATAACTGAGAATCTCCAATCATGAGATTGGTGGCCATTTGACCATTCCTTGGGGTTATGGAGCACACAAATGCCCATGCACATTCCCCCTCAGACCTGACTTGTATCTGAAACCTGACGCGATGATATGATTATTCTGAGTGTAGAAGCATCGGCTTGGTGGTTAAAGAACGGACTTATACATGAATAATTATGCGCATACCGCAAGTTTCATCTCCTATGCCTCCAGTTAATATAAACAAGTCCTTCGTTAAGCCAATCATCCGGGTTTCGAATCTTCTCGCTTGATTTATCCTGAAGTTAGTGGGGTGTTTCATGTATTCGGATTCGCCTGATTAAATATGGAACCTTCTCGTTATTTTAAAAGGGGAAAGTCAAACGTGGTGTCAAAGTATGATTATATTCACCGACGGCTCACATGCAATCGCCTGTTGTTGCGGCGGTGGAGCTGATGACCTGCAAGTGCAACGCGCATACGTGAAGAGGAGGAAGATCGTCTG